CATTCATTTAATATCCTCTATTACTTTATGTATTCTAGTTTTGTTTTGTTTGTTTTAAATTTCAACTACCCCTTGTTAACGTGCTTTTAAGATACTTTTTAAAGTTTTCAATTGAATGTGTTTGAAAGACTGATGTTTTAACGGCCAAAAAAGAAATTAAAGTTCTTCTTTTAAAGTGTTTGCGTTTTGCCTCTACTTTACACTATAATATATTCATGGTCAAATTCATTTTTGCCATTTACACGTGTATATGGTGCTTCATTCTAGAATATATTTTTGTCAACCAATTTGATATTCATAGAATAATGATTGTTTGTGATACTTTACAATAAATATGGATGTCCCAGCCATCTAAAATAGGGTACTAAACTGTTGCGCGAAGAAAATGAAGTATATTTGGATTTAAAAAGATTTTGAACAAAAGATTAATTTTCTGTTGTGCTTAGTTAACCCATTTTATTATCAAATTGAACAGAGAACATTAAAATATCCATAACATTATTGCTTCACACAAAGTTAATTGTTTATTTACAGAACCTACGTATGTAGTCCTTTAAAAATCCGTCAAGTGCCTTTTCTATGTTTCTAATTTAACATTTCAGTAAATAGAAATATTTTAAAACTATTTACAATCGGTTTTATGGTAACAGAAACACAAAACTGAAACATATCTTGTTGAAATTAATTTTGAATATTTCAAAATCATATCAATATTATCAACCTTAAGCTTTCATCAAAAATTCTGTTTCCCTGTTCTGTTATTTTTATTGATTTTTTTTATTCTTATGTGAGCTCTGTTGCTTTTTATCCTCTGGCGTACGTTGCATTGCATCACTTTTACTGTTATTGTTTGGTAAAAGTGACCTGAATCTAATTTTCGGAGCTTTGTTTCGTAAGTCGTCATTAATAATTACGATTTACCAATTGTTTTAAAGATAGTATAGTGTTCGGTACTTTAATTAAGAATAACGACCCAATGGCCTAGTGGTTCGGATGATGGCATAGCATAGAATATAAAAATATATATTTTCCATAATTTCAATATGTAAAATTGTCAAAGGGTTATTGCTATGCTAAAAAGAACAACATAGTAGTCAATTGTCGTAAAATAAACAAAACAAGTAAATGAAAATAAAAAACGTTTGTTTAAGATTCGAACCTAAAAACGGAGGAATATCGGTAAATTTTTAACTGAACTTAAGAACTATATAAATTTTTTTTAAAAGAACCAAACTGGTATTGTCCGGGCAAAAACTTCTTTTATTTTTCGCAGGATGTTTTCATACCCCTATCGTCTCTTTTTCAATCATTCATATCATTTTTCAACTTCATACTTATAACTTCATTTGACCCGTTACACGTTGACAGGCCTCATTCACTTCATTTTTGAAATCGGTCACGCTAACCTTTACGCATACGCACAAGAAATGAGAACTTATAGCGAGAGCTGTTTTTTTTTTCATTGAATCCGTATTTCTATCTTATTGTGTGCCAACTGTATATTAACAGGTATTTTTGATGTTTTAAAACATTGTTAACATGAATTACTATGATATATGTATGTATTTCGCTTGGAATTATCAATGGCACAAGACATGAGATTTTTTAGCGATAGCTGTTGTTTTCATTGAAATCCGTATTTCTATCTTATTGTGTGCCAACAATATATTTACAGGTATTTTTGATGTTGTAAAACATTGTAAACATGAATTACTATGATATGTGTATGTATTTCGCTTGGAATTATCAATGGCACAAGAAATGAGAACTTATAGCGAGAGCTGTTGTTGTTTCATTGCGTTCGTATTTCTATCTTCTTGTGTGCCAACAATATATTTTCAGGTATTTTTGATGTTGTAAAACATTGTAAACATGAATTACTATGATACATGTATGTGTATGTATTTCGCTTGGAATTATCAATGGCACAAGAAATGAGAATGTTAAGCGAGAGTTGTTTTTTTCTTCGTTGAATCCGTATTTCTATCTTATTGTGTGCTTACAGGTTCCTCTTCGAACGACCTATAGAGTGAGAACTCATGAATATCCGTGACATATACCTCCAATAAACTCGAATGCCATAAAAGAATGTGATTACTTTGAACAGTTAGAAGAAGATATAATTAAGTAAACATATTGAGAAAAAGTACTAATTAATGGTGATCTTAATAGCAGAACTTCTATTTTAATGATGATAAAGTACCTATTGTTAATACATAACGTGCTCCAAAATTATGGTCATGTGATTGACCATTTTGGGAGGCGCCTACTCGATTAATGCCAATTTAAAGGATTATAAATTGCGAATGGGCGTCTGCTGTCCGAGGTTAGTAAAGGAAGTTTTATTTTCTGTTCACAAAAAAAAGTCTTAGATCTGATGACAAGGTTTTATAAGATTCATCTGCTTGTGAGATATTAACAGACTTTAAAATATAAAAAATTCAACGAGTTCTTTGACCACGCGCCTCTTTTCTGTTCGCTACACCGGGAAAAAGTACTGACGCAAGATAAAGAAGATCCAGTAGCACACGAATCTTACATTAAACTTTGCTGGAACAGTGATAAATTATTCCGAGTTATTCAATACCCCTATTGAGGGACATCTTGATACTTCGTGCTTTAAGTTAGCTTGTTAGTGATGTACATACACACGCGCTTGACCACGTGGTTCAAGAATTTACTACTTTACTGTCCGACAACGGCCATATTGCATTCGATAAACACTTAAATAGCAATGTATACCGTTCAGACAATCATGTAAATAATAAATGGTTCAATGCAAATTGTTATGAAGCGAGAAAAAACTTTAATATTCGCTCACATGTTTTGTTGCAGCGCGTACGAAATACAATAAAGCCAAGAAAGCCGGAAAACAGTCTTACAGGATGCTTGTTTCTCAAATGGCAAATAAACAACCTAATAATTTCTGGAAAAACAAAATATTCGAAAGGTAATAACGTACAACCGGATTATCTAACAATTACACAATTATACGACCATTTTCAATCTTTATTTGGTACGGAAATACCACATAGTGAAAGTTCTGATATATACTTTGACCACATAATACAAGACGAGAATTTTGATACAGAAAACACAGTCTTCGATCAAAGCAATAATAAATCACCAGGTACTATTAATGTTCAAATCAACTTACAATATACTATCTCTATGTGTTTGCTCAATTTATACAATAGGTTATTTTGTTACAGCAATTACCCGACAAGCTGGGGGGATTGTAAATCAAATTTTCAAAAAAAGGTGATCCACAAAAGGAATCGAGGAATACCGTCATAAATATTGGAACCGAAATCTACTCTCAAATTATCCTGAACTAACAATATGGGCTGAATGTCATGAAAAAATCAGTTTGGTATCCAAAAGGGTAAATCAATTTCAGACTGCACTTTCATTTCCATTCTCGTATTATTTGCGATCAAGTATTTTGTATCTTTATTGACTATGAAAGGTGTTTTGATAAAATTGATCGATCATATTTGTGGCAAATATTGTTATGGGAAAATGTAAGGTAAGTTGTAACTTTGTGAAAGCAATAATTTACTATAATGTTAAAACATGTGTTGGATATAAAAGATCTCGTCCAAACGTCTTCACTTCAGACATAAGATTGAAGCAGGGAGATCCGAGTTCACCTTTGATCTTTATGTTGTTGGTGAACGATCTCATGGATAATATAGACAGTATACTATATATAGTGATATATTAACAGTAAATGAGAAAATGTTATTTCTCATACTATTCGCAGATTGTCAGGTATTCTTTACAAAACCTTGGGATCACTTTGTTCAAAAACAGTAATAAGCACCGAACACAAAACTGTTAGCTCAACGAGCTTCTTCTTTGCTGCACAAACTTATTTTAATATTTAGAAATAAAGGAATAACGGTGGCACAGTATTGTAAATTGTTTAGACTCATTGGTTGATTTAATTCTTAATTTTGGCTCGGAAATATAGGAAACGCATTAGTTAGACATCTGAAATAGAACTTATACGTAAAAAAGTTTCTGAGAAGAGTACTCAAATAATAAATAAAAACCTTGACCAATTCATAAAAAAATATTTATTTTTAAAATCCGATACAGAACAAGTTAATACGTTCCGAAATAATAACTTGGCTACCCACATTAAATCATTACTGACTGAGAATGAATATAGAATCGCGATGTCAATATAAGAGTTTCCGCACATGAATTATTTGTCGAAACTGGACGATATCATAACATTCCTAGTGAACCGAGAATTTGCAAATCGTGTAATATGCGACATCCGGAAACAGAATTTAATTTTCTCATCGCTTGTCAGTTTTATCAAGATTATAGATTCTAAAACTGTAACATCATCATTGGCCATCAGTCAATCAATCGTCATCTGAAAAATGTTTTATCAGTTTGATAAAATGCTTTTGCTTTATTCTTTACATATGAATGAGCTACTTTTGTTCTTCAAGAAAACCTGTTAAACGTACCTCTCATCGGGTATACTTTTATAAACATTTTTTTCTTCATGTTAGCTATAAACATTGTATAATATGTTTAATGCAAAATAAAAATTTTGTTATTTTATGTTACGTATGTTACTTTAAAATCCATATGATTAACTTCGAAATCCGATAAATTACCGACAAATGGTCATTGAATATACAAATGTCTAAGGTCAATATTGTTTGTTTAATTGGGCTTTACGTCACACAGACACATTATAGGTCATATGACGACGTTCCAGCTTTAATGGTGGAGGAAGAATTCAGGTGCCCTTCCGTACATTATTTCAGGCACGAACGGAAAACTGAGTAGAGCCGCCGACGTTCCGTAAGCTAGCAAGATAGCTTCCTCTCATGAAAGAATCCAAACTCCCTATCGGGATTCGAACCCACAGCGGTGAGGGGCAAGTGGTATGAAGTCAAATACCTTAACCCACGGCCATGGACGCCAATATTGTCAGACAGTATCTAAATTATTATCATCAATTACAGTTAAAATCTTTTTACGTTTGTTTTGCTGTAGAATATGATATTTCAGGTCAATCGCGTCAATCGCTAATGACTATCTTTCGAATGTAATATTTATCCCGATTTTTAATTGAGTTATGAATATAATTGTGCTTCCGCTTATGTAATGAAATATAAAACTGTCATTTATTGTTTGCAATAAGAAAAACGATTGAAAATGATGACCCCGATCTTGTAATATCTATTATTATCTATTATGTAAAGATGAACAGGTTTAACAACTACGGGTATATACAAATACGATATCAAACTGATAAGATCATATCTGTTTTCAAAAAACTCCAACAACAATGTTTTCTCGAATTAAAAAATATCGTACTTTCTCCTTTAAATATAGTATATATAGTAAATATATTTATGTAAAGATTGAATAGTTCGTTAAACAGCACAAATGTATGTCCAATGTTCAAGTACCGTTTCAATATAGTTTAATATCTGTGGATAAATCTTTTAAAAATTTTGAATATTATTGTATCAATAATCCCCTTGATTAATATAATGTTTAACTATGTTTTGATTGCATTTAATGTTTCACGATCTAATTAATATTCTAAATAATTATATTCCCCTTATTTGCTTTTTATTCTGAACTTGTTAATCCGACATTTTGAATTATTGGGCATTGTTACCCATTCCTTTCAATCTAAACACCATTTTAGCATGTATTCTTCAAGCACAATTAAAATGAAATGACATGTTCAGAAAAATACGAATGTGTTTTGATAGTATGTATATATGCTATATCTTGAGCTGTTCTCTTTTAAATGAAATAGTCACGTCAAATAGATATCATGGCCTACGGTTAGTAGATGTAAATGCAAACTCCTGTCTAGGTCCCCCCTAGCACCATGTTAGGCAGTATTTTACATTTTATGAACAAGCAAATGGATCAATTTTGAATAAAGAAAAATCCCAAACAGAATGTATCAGACATTATTTTAACCTGCGTATATAAATACATGTCTGATGGAACGTGATTAACTTTAAAAAAAACTTGATTTCGAAATAATCAGCACGTCAAAATAACTGATTAAATTTAACAACTGCAGAAAGTGCTTTAACATTTCTTTTAATGTTTGCTAAGGCAGTTCCTACACTCATCTTCAATCTGAATCATAGTAATAGTCGTAGTCCGAATCGTAGTACGAGTCGGCGTAATAATCGCCATCCGACGATAGGTCGTCATAGTACTAATCATCAAAATCCTGGTAGCATGTAAGTTTACTGGTTTCTACTCTTGATGTCATCTTACAATGTGGGCATTCGACGTGACAACGGAGTATGGATTTTGGAAGATATATTTCAAAACACTTTTCTTTAATAGTGTCAAGTGAACAGGACGCTGCTTCTTTTGGCAATGGCAACTGTTTCCATGCAATAGATTCCTCAGTCTTCCGAGCGACCAATGTTTGGAATGGAATACATTCAAATATAAAATGTTCGCTGTTGAATTTCTGGTAATATCGATAAATAATCTGGTTGCATATGAAATATTTTATTTCTTTAAAATTATTTTGTTTCGAATGGAATTTCTTCTACATGATATTTGTGGGAAAGACACGCGCCCTGCAGTCGTGTGAAGGTAATACACCTCTTTTTATCGTATATTACAAATCCGCTTTTAATCTGAGCAATATCATCCCCGTTGCTGGTCGTTTGAATTTTTCTTTCTAAATGTCCTTCATTGAGATCATAAAATGCCACACGTGTTCGTGACTTAAAGATGATCGCAATAGCATTTTCACCCATTGCGAATTTTAGTATTTTGTCGTCTTTGAATGAAACTAGTGGTGACATTTCCACATTGCTATCACCGATATGCCCAATATACAGCGTTGAAAAACATATATAACGAGACATTGATAAGCTGCTTTCTATCATTTGCCGTTCAACCTGCATTCTTATTTTGATTTCTTTGTTTACAGAAACAATACAAAAGTGGCCGTCAAGTTTCATATTTTCAGACGGTTTAATGATAAATTCATTCTTTTCTGTGCCCACTGTAAAATTCAGTTTAGTACATGTATCCTTCGGTAAATCAAGCAGTACAAAACTCATCTCTGGATAGTTTCTTCTCACGGAACAGACTATTGATCCAGTGGTACTCGTACATGTGTCAGATATTTCAACAGTGCGGCCCGATCTGTCTATTTTCAGTGAATTTAATTCAACCCGAAACCACTGATCTCTTTCCAAATCTAAACACCAGAATGAATCCCCGTAGTTACCTTCTTTCATAATGAGAACTCGATGATCATTGGATCTAGCAGACGTCATATCTTTTAACTGTGTATGACAAGCAGCATCTAAATTATGTAAACAGGCTTGCAAACACTGATTGGACACTGAACTGAAAACTATATTGCTTAGTAATTCCTTCATATGAGCCCTCCTAGTATTTGGATTTGCATCTAACCATTTATGTAAGAACAGTACCCTGTCGTCCATTGGCACGTACGATAGCCGTTTATCTGAGAACAGCAAGTGAACGGAATCTTTTGTCAAATTTACCATTTGTGGTAGAAGAAGCATTTCTGGCAGGTGCTCTTCAATGTATGTCGTACATCTTGGAATTTCAAAATCGTAAATGCTTGACAGCTGAAAGATTTTCATACAATTTTCTCTAGAAATAGAAACAGTATTCAACCAAGCTATGCAGGCAGACTTTAAATTTGGAATGAGAAGAAACTCAGCCAGGTTTAGGATATTTTCGATATTTTCATCATTCAAATTGGGCTTCTTACCATACAAAACATGATAGTTTTCTCAAGTGTTACAGGTGTTCCTATTGTTATTTCAGTTACACCTGTAAACAAAAAATAAAACAAAAACTATAGTAACAAACTTTTTAGAATATGAATCTTAGCTAACTTCTACACCAAATGCTCTGCAATTTCAATAAAATGAATTTGATAAATTTAATTTTCTACTCAATCTTAAGATGTGTATAGTTTCTTATATTAATTTTATCTCCTACTGTTTCAATAGAGAAAATAAGAATCCCTAAAGAAAATCCAACACGGCAATATTCAAAAATGTGGCAGGCTCGGTTTGATTGAGCCTGTTCATGGACGGTACTGTCAAGTGCAAACTACCGTCCACGCCCCCTAGCACCGGCTTATGCAGATTTCAACATTTAACATGAACCGGTACAAATCAAATCTTTCATTTTGGTTTCTGTTTAATCCTGACTCCGGAACAAAATAATACCTGTCCGCCCTTCACGGAAAGTGTCGTTGAGAGCATGATCGAAAAAGGCACTTATTGAAAGAACACATCGATGGAACTTCTTCTCCTGTGTAAATATCAAAGTAAATAATTGAATTAGGATAAAGTAATTATTACATTTTGATCAAATTATAACAATAAATGACTGCATATGGAATTAATGGTTTTGTTCAATGTGTACTCCCTTGTTTCGTTTGTTTCATCAATCAAAGCTATGCATGTAAATACTTCAAATTTAAGTAATGCGTCAAATAATGTCAAATATCAAATATTCACTATGCCAAAAATCATAGATATTATTTGGTCATCATAGTTGTAATGATATACTTTTTACGTCTTGCATTGAACTGATACGGGTATTTCACAATAATTGAAACTTGTCTTATGTTTAACCGACGTGAATTTGTTAATGAAAAAATGGCGCTAGTTGTATATAAATTCGTATACATGGCATACCTATCCTTCCTCGTTACGTATCAGTATACCTGTATAAATTTTATAAATCTTATTTAAAAAAGGCTCGGCTTTATTTATACCAGTAATCGTTAAGTGACAACTGATAAAACTTCATTTTTTAAATGGTTAATTTCCATAAGAAACAGCCTTCAGATAAATATTTTCATAAAAATGATTAAATTAAAATTTGACCATATCGACATCATATATTTCTGTAATAATACAAAATTAAAACATACGATATAATCATAATAAACTGGGAATTTAAATAATATTTAACGTACAATATCAAAAAAATTATCACATAACCGAATGTTCATTGTTTTTGCGTCTTTGTTTTGTTGTTGTTGTTGTGTGTGCGCGAGTGTGTGTTTGTGTTTTTCTTTTTTTGCATATGCAAATATTGGTTACAAACAACGAAATTAAGCATTACAATTAAATTCAAATGTCATAACGAAAATCTATTCGCAAACATATGATTGAATAATTAAGCATGACGGTATGTTCGTATTCGAGCGTCTGTACCAGATAAATAAGCTGCTTAACAACAATATCTCATTAATCAAATATGTTTACGAATAATCAAATTTTAACACTTGTAAATAAATATGACATTGATTTTTAGTCGTTATTTGATACTGTATGAAGTGGCTTTATTTTTAAATTTACCAATGATACTTTTTTATATGTCAAATACGACTGCAATAATGAAGATGTACAGAACATACCCATAATCCCATTTTCACAGTTACATCACACAGGTTTGACTGTTCGTTTACCTGTCTTACTAGAAACTTCCGGTTGGATTGAGGTTAAGTTTTTCTGGCATCGTATTCTTTTGCGAATTGACTGGAATAAAAATTTTCACATAAATATAATATTTGGGAAAATTGGATTTATATTGTTATTGAATTGCTTACGGTTCAATCAAATTTCATTTGATATTTATATAAAGTTTAAAGCTATCTTCAATTTACTTCAACTAATCAGAAGGGGTGCTATACGTCGAAACATGATTATGACCTTAGCAGGGCACAAAATGAAACTCGTAAATCATTGGCCATGTGGTACAAACCTTAATCGATGAGCAATCGATTCCTATGTTATTGGGTTTATAAACTTACACATATGCAAATTTATCTCAGATATTAATATTCATTACAATAAGGTTCTCATTTTAATATGAAATGTTTTCTAGTTAAAAGGATCATTGCGAATAGACTGGAATGAATATTTCACATAGATATAATATTTTGGGAAATTCGATTTATATTGTTATTGAATTGCTTACAGTTGAATCAAATTTCATTAGATATTTATATAAAGTTTAAAGCTACCTTCAATTTACTTGAACTAATCAGGAGGGGTGCTATACGCCGAATCATGATTATGACCTAAGCAGGGCACAAAATTAAACTTGTTAATCATTGGCAAATTGGCGTAAACCTTATTCGATGAGCCATCGATTCCAATGTTATTGGTATTATAAACTTACACATATGCAAATTTATCTCAAATTTATTAATCTTTACAAAAAGGTTTTCATTTTAAGGATGATGTACATTAAAATTCAATTAGTTTCATTTATTGACATTTTTATTGTTTAATCCAAATCAATATAATGAAGAATTTGTTGTTAATAAAGTAATTATTTTTAAATACGTACGAAAAAAGATACTATACCTTGATAGTCACCTTTCCAATTTGTGTCATCGCTATGGAATATCAAAATCGAAAAAAGTCCAACTTTTCGAATTTTTTTGAAAATAGTGAATCTATGGAAAGAGAAGCAGCTTTTTCATTGACTAATACCACGATCACAGTTGTTGGAATAAAATTTATCTGACTATCACATTTGTGAGCTTTCTGAGGGTAATACGATATGGAAATTAATAATGTTTACCGATTAAAATGCAACATTACTCACCACTAAATACATGTAGCGTATTTAAGGCTAAACAAACAACTTAAGATAACGTATCTACGGTTAATAAGGAAGAAACATATGCACGTTTTAAGGTTAACTTTATACGGGAAGCAAAAGTAAAACCTCTTGCACTTTATCAGATGTAGTTTATTGCAAACAAGCCCATATATTATAATTTTGATTTTCTGTCAGAAGGTTAGCCACTTTCATGGTATTTCTGCCATTGACGGCAGCATATAGAATTGATTCAAGTAATCCAAATAGACATATTTGTTGCTGATATGTATAAGGTTCTAGTACCAGTACCTTTATTTCTTTGTATGATGTGAAATCATCTCAGACATTGATATATGAATCTTATACTAGCAGAAATTGTAGCGTTATTTCAATTGAAGACAAACTAATACACGGAGTGATATTTCTTACTTTCAAGTTATCTTTTCAGTTTTAAATACGAGATACAGTAAGAATAACAATGTTAACATGTATACAGAATGAGTTGTCTCCTATAACATAACAGAAATAATCTGTAATGGTAAACTATAACATTGAATTTTTTTAAGTGGAGAAAAATAAATAAAACACACTACATGTATATCCAAAACTTTGTTAATTATCATGAAAATAACTTCTAAATAAATTTTTACCCATACAGATTGTCAAAATTCAATAATTATCAACAAATTAATGTAATTTACAAAATAATGTAATCCTCATCATTAGCTTTTGAAATGTCTAGTCACACACTAAAAGTTCCTTATGCTAGCCCCAGTTCATTCCCTGCGGTCTGGAGACCGCAGGGTATTGGTACGCGTTTGGAGGAGCACGTGACCTGTTTTCGGTACATGGAGGAGCATGTGATCTGTAAACCGTACATGATTGGTTAATTGACCTTTTCGAAAACCTAGCTAAATACCGTTTGCCGGTACGTTACGGATTTACCTGTAAACACTTTCAATATGATCCACGTAAATAACCGAGGTATATCGAGTGAAAAAATGCGAGTTGCTTCCCTTATCTTCGGGTAAAATCGACATCGCTTATGCTTAAACAATACATAATAAGCTGTTTTAAACCGCTAGTTTGTTGTGATAAAATGTTCGATTTTAAAATGTATTACACCAATAGAAAGCTTTGGATCTTAGCTTCGTCACTGTATAAAATTCAACACATCTTTGGACTTCAAAGTATTTTAATTAACTGTTAAACCTACCATATGTCAGACCATTTTACATACGATTTATACAGTGAGATACGCAATCCGTTATCTTTACTCAAAATTCTACTGATATGAATAGCCAGTCGTCTGCTAGTTCTGAAAGTGTTTATCGGTGTTTATTTCTAATTTTCTGTTAAAGTTGGAAAAAACTTGAATGATATGTTTGAAAATTATCAATGTTTCTTTAATATCTATCTCAAACTTTACAAACAATAAATTGTTTATACTGAAAATCTACAAAATTAAAATATTCGTAGTGGCATCAGCCATAATAAATAGAGATATTTTCTGCGTAAACTTGTGTGTTTACTTTATTTATTTTTAGCTCGAAATTATTCAAAAAATGAAGGCCTATTAATCATTTTCTTAAAAAGAAATAATTGTTTTATGCTCGACCTTCTCCGGTCTTCAACGGTCACCAGTTTCCAAAGACCTTCTTCCATAGTGATCGTTTATTCAACTTTATCCCTGATACAAACGTTCCCCCCCCCCCAAAATAATGTTGAAAATAGTTAAAAGAAATATCTTTATATATATCATTAAATTGTTCACCGCCGGAAACCATTTTACTTGTTTTATTTGTATCAGTTTTCTACTTTTATATCTCAACAGATATGACAAAAGGGTGCGTAAAAGATCCTGTGTGTTGTAATTAAGGTTGTTACCACACTTTAGTGAAATTTTAAGCGTATATAATTATGCTTCTAAAACAATTTTTAAACATCGAATAATATGTAAAATATGTACTGCAAATATGTGCCCACATTATATGTAATCATTGAAATATATGCATTCATTTCTTATTGAAAAATTTGGCTTAGACTTTATAGATAATAAATTTCTAATAACCTCCCTTTATTTAATTAAATGTAAATTCGGAAATATCTTTACTAAAATTTCTTTTTGGAACTTAAACTATTGATAAGTGGTCATTTGAGCATAACATTTATGATATAAAACCATAAAAATATGTGCTTTTCTTAATTCGTTATCTATAAATATAAATACAGAGTACACTTAATGTATTGTTATATTTTGCTTTTAGAAACTGAAAGAACATAATGTATACCTATTGAGGATTTTGTTTAGATTTCGTTACAATTGTTTGACAATGGGCATTCTTGAATTGATTCTGATTTTTGGAAATACTTTTCAATCATGACATAGATTTTATATCCCATGGATGTCAAATATATACTTTCATTAATCATAACTCAAAGATAGCAAACTCTGTTTTGTTTACATCTGAAGTATCGTGGTACGATACGTAGTAGAACGTCATTTTATTATCCGCATTAATTCCGAGCTAATAATGAATAATATTTGAGATGCTCCAAATGAGTCAGTAGCCGCGGAAAGGTTTTAAGAGGGTCCCAGGTCACCCTATTACAATGGTGTAATAAGACAAACTAAAAAAATGCAAATTGGTGTTCTCAAAGTTCTTTAGTAATTGTATTATTGTACAGCTTAAATTGTATATTTTAAAGTCATATTGTATTTTGTTGTTTTTGAGATACCTCTTCTTTATTCACGTTACTTTCGATAAGTAAAAAGTCTAATTTGACAACATGATCCGAACAGTAAAATGTGTTATCAACAAAAGTATCGCTTTCATTAAAATTCTTTTATGAAAAAAATATGTAGGAGGTCGCAGTGCAAAAAGTTTTAATTAACATACAGTGAAGAAATTAAATTTCCATATGAAGCGACGTGATTTGGTTTTTGGTGTCCTACAAGTAAAATTAATTAGCACAAAGATGTGAACATGAAATACATGACATATCTAACGTAATGGTTGATAATTTTGACATCATTTTTTATACAAATGAAAAATTAAAGGTCTGGTCTTCATCGTGAAATGATAAAAAAGTTACTATTGTGTATTATACGAATGCACATAATTTTCCAGAATAAGCAAAAGATGAGCAGGATAATGTTTAATAAAATAATTGTTGGTTTTGATATTTTTATGATATTTTTCTTCTCATTAACGGACCTCATTTCTGTCTATAAATATAGACAATGAAATGACTGCTTAGGATAAACTGGTCAGAAGATGCAATGGTATGTTTCATATGTACACAAAATGTCTACGGAACAAATAACCGCTGATGTTAATAAAACGTTTGGGTTGTCCGTAACCAAGTGGTTAAGATCGTTGACTTCAAACCACTTGCCCTTCATCGCAGTGGGTTCGATTCCCATAAGGGATTTTAGAATCAGTCATCTGAGGAGGCTAACCAGCTATTTTACAAAACGTCGGTTTCTCGTTCGTGCCTGAATTGATTCATGGAAGGGCATCGGAGGACTTCCTCAACCGGTTAAGTCGAAAAAACTTATTCTGTGTTGGTATATAGCGTATGCAGATCATAAACTATGAAAATTACATGTTTCTGCCGTGTTGCATATGTTAGCTTCGAAAATCAATAATTGATTTTCAACCATTTAAGGTCCCTGAGTACAGTATACACAACCCAAATGATTTATTACTTTATTTTTATTTTACATAAAAATAACATTTTCTGTAATTGCTGACAACATTACCTCTTTAATTTGTGAAACTATTCAAATAAGACGAAAACAAATGAACAAAAGTATCATCATTTTTTATATAATAACATCAAAAGATTCCCGAAGTGCTTTCTTTCCTTTCATTTTCTTGGAAAATATTTTATCACTGCATACGTCAAGACTTCTTTTCATCTTTA